AGGAGGAAATGGCCCACCGCTGTACAACGCAAGTTGGTTTTTGATGGGCTCAACTTATGCCCCCTCATCGAATGGTGCTCCAAAGCTGGAAACAGTGCCTATTCAGTCAGGCTCACCCCGGGGGAACCGTCCCGCCTTGCACATGAAGCCATCCGCACCACACTCAACTGGTCCCTGTATATCTACAGCAAATTCGCAAGCGAGGGGGACTCTAAACTACAAGTTTACCCCGACCGTGGCCCCAAACAGCGAGCCAAAGGCAAAGGAAAAGGTCAAGGCAAAGGAAAACCAGGTGGAGCCAAAGGTAACGGCAAAGGTGGCAAAGGGAAACGAGACCGAGACAGCCAGGAGGGTTAAATCCCGGCGGCCGCCGCCGATAGCCAAGGCAGGATGCGCAGACCAAACAACTCAAACCAAAAAAAATAAAAAATAAAAAGGAAACAATCTCAGATGCTACCCACTTTTGTTTTTAGGTGATGTAAGACTTAGTCGTAACCCCCTATCGGCACAACGCAGAACAGGTGGGCGGACCTCCCAAGTGGAACCCCCAAGGTCGACACTTGCTTATTGGGCAAGTGTCAGGTTTCTGCCGTGCCGTAGGGATAACACACGACCGTTCCCCCTCAACGCGTTCCCCAAGTGTTGGCGACTACTCAGGGCAAGCTATACGTAAACCTTTTTTATTTGCTCTCACTCCCTTCTTTGTTCTTTTCGGTTGCTTTCTTTCTTGTGTGTGTTCGGATCCTTCCCAGGTCATGTTCCTGGTTATGAAGTTTTACATTTTGCTCGAAGTGTCTATGACCTACTAGCATAGGGTTCCACTGAATGGTGCTACCAACCTTTCCTGTTTCATATGTGTTTCACCCAGCCCTCACGAAATGGGACCACTTACGGAGATTCATCAGTGCGAGGTCGACGCGCCCATGGTATTTCGACTGTGGATGGGGAACCTCAAAAATGTGGTGGCTACCTTCGTCGCCCACATCATCATCATCATCATGCAGGCTTGCAAAAATAAAATTGCTCCAGTACCATCCTCGAGCAGTCATACACTCAAATCCAGATTGATACTATCGATAGCATGGAAGCAAGATTGGGCAACAAATCCCTTCTCCTCAAAGGTCTGCCCTCCATGTGCTTCACCACGAGTAACCTTGATTGGAACACCAGCTACTTTTGTGAAATTGGAAGATTCCATTTGATTTCATTTCCTCCATGACCAACCATGACCAACCATGTCATTGATGCCAGCTCCAGCATTCTTCGGCTGGAATTCCTCACAGAGAACCACAAGTCAACCTTCCACCACTTCATCGAGCAGAACAAGCTCGAATAGATTACCAACAAGCAGAAGTACGTTCAAATTTGAACCAGATGTCTCCACCAGTGACAGACTAGCCTTCTACACCTTGTTGGCTATTCAAGCAACTCCTGCCAGACGATGAGAAAGGCCCCCAGGGCCATCTACAGTCAGACATTAATACATGGCAGATTTGGCCACACAAGCATTCAGCCTCCACCTCGCTACTTGCACAAGTCTCCTATATCTTTGACCTTCGGGTTCCCAGAAGATAAGTTTGTGTCATTTTTGTCATTTTTCGGTACCTCCAGGAAGTACAAGAGAACTGGCAAGACATATTCAGCTCCAACATGGACAAGCCCAATCAGATGATCCAAGCCCTTTCTAGGGCAGCAATTGACAGAACAACTGCATTCAGATTCTCCTATGACACAGCTTTTGACATCTCAAACGCAAAGGCACCATCCATGACATTCCCCTATCCTATTTTGTTCATGGGCATGTCACAGACCTTGGCCAACCTACTTTCAGCTCATCCTCAGCTACCTCTACATGGAGCTTCAGGCCTCTCCAAGATCACGGGGCAGCTCATGCTCAACAACCAGATCGACTCAGGCTCCTATGGCAAGAATGCAAAATCCAAAGGCAAAGGACATGTTGAAAATAAAGGTTACGAAGGAATTTCTTAAAAAAAGAAACGCCTCCAATCAAAACCTAATAAGGGAACATTTTCAGATAGATCGCCAGATCAACCAAACTATGGTTCCAGAAGAGGCAGCAGTCATGATCCAGGCTCCTCTTCAGGATATTTCAGATCAGGTAAGAGACGTTCCAGACCAACCACTGCCTACACCCAGAACTACAACCAGAACTCCTCCAATTCCAGTCATCACAGTCATCCAATCGACAGGGGAACTCCTCCAGAACTGCATCATTGACTACGTGCTCTACCTGCAGTTGCATCCTGTTTACCTACACCCAATGCATCACTGGTGACAATTCTCAACTACCATCTACATACTTGGACTTCACAGATCTCCATGCCTGTCTTTGCTGGTGCCTTGGAGTGCTCCCTTATGGCCCCCAGTGTGATCAACTTCTTGGGAAACGAAATGGCTCACTATGCTGCCAATTCCACTTCCATTTCATCAAGAATCGGAAGAATTTCCACCAGACTATTCAATCCTCATCCTTTGAGTGCCCAAAATCCCCCAGTTTTGACAAGTACATCCACCATCTTGAACTTTGTGAAGAAGACTCCGTCAGCTACTACCATATGGAATCCGCAAAGCTCCTCCCATGGAAAGGCAATGAACCAGACTATGACTGACTCTGTGCTTCATCCTCTTCTGCCACCTCGGCCCCAGAAACGATGCCTGGCTACCAATTCCGCACCCAGCCAGACAACCTTGTCAACTACCAGGCACCTACAAGGACACACCTGACTTCATCAATTCAGGCTACACCATTGATGAATGACTCCTCACGGACCACGTCCAGATTTGCCAGCGGTACTCTGGCAACCTTGAGAAGTTCACCAGATACAATCACAATCAAATCCTCGACACTTGGAAGATTTCCTTTGGCAACAACCAGGCCATCTCACCAGCCAGAATTACCTGCATACCTTGGGGGACACTGGCGGCTTCCTCGGCAATCATGGCCATTGATAGAATCGATGAATCTCTCCTACCCTACATCGCCGAGAACTTCAAGGATGGATTCATGGAAATGATCATTGCTATATAGCTTTCTAGCTGGAGTTGGATTTGCTTTATCAATGAATTGGGGGCAGACTGGACGCAGCTGCCATGATTTTCCATGTTGAACTTGTTTTGGGGCCCCTGTTCGGCATCATGTCGAACTGTGACCCCCCGCCCCTTCGGGCTCAAACCCCGCTGCCTCCATCCCGCTGGGATCCACTGGGTTTCATCTGTGAGCAGGCGTTTGCATGCCCACGCGCACACACACATATATATATTTATATATATATTTATATATATATATATATTCACCGTGGGCCGTGAGTGTTGTGAATGTAATGCAATATAATGCAATACAATATTGTGTAATGTAACGCAGGCTCATCTAATCTCATGTAACCTAATGTAATGGAATCTAAACTACTGCAATGTAATGTAACCTAACCTAATGTAACGTAGACTAATCTGACTCTGATGTAATGTAATGTAACGTAGCGTTATATATTGTAACGTAATGTAATGTACTGTAATGTAATGTAATGTACTGTAATGTAATGTAATGTACTGTAATGCAATGTAATGTAATGTAATGCAATGAGAGAACAGCTACTTGGAGTCTTGCATTCCACTTCCCCAAGATGTCTGCATGAAAACATGGCCCTGTCTTGGCGAGGAAGCGAAGATGCGCATCTTAAGATTCCCAATGATTTCTTGCTCGATGGATGTATGCACCTAAGCTACCAGATTCTAAGACTTGGTTTTTGGTATAGTGGATACATACATATACAGTATATACATACGTAAATGTATGATATATATAATGTAATTTAATACAATACAATAAATTATTATATAACATAAAATGCGATATAGTAAAACATAACATCATATAACGTAACATAATAAAACATAATATAATAGTATCATGTATAGGTTATTTAATTTCAAATAATATAATTTAGAATTAAGTAGAATAATGTAATATTATTTTATATATACATACTGATTTAAAATACAATAATAAAATATAATGGAATATTATTTACTGTAGTATAATTTATTATAACACATAAAAAAGCATATATATATATACATACATATATTTACACTTCCATATGTATGTAAACAAAAAACAACTAGATAAATGAATAAATCATAAATATACATATAATTATACATACATACATACATACATATTCGTATACATACATACATGCATACATACATGCATGCATACATACATACATACTAACATACATACACACACATATATATATATGTTTACATACCCATATTTATATATACACACACTTATATATACACACACACTTATATATACATACACATGTATTATAGAGATGCTTAGATATATTCATTATAGACATACATATGTATAATGTCACGGACAGGAACAAGGAAGGAGAGGCCGAGGAAAAGAGGTTCAATCAGATGATTGCAAAGTGGCTCAGCCGAAGCGCGTTCGGTTGGGGGCACTTTGTTTTTGGCAAGTAGAGTACTAGGAGCGCAATTTTGACGCTGGTATGCTAGGATGTCAGGGGGAGGGTTGTGGAATGATTATGGTGCATGCGAGCTAGAATATCATGATACGCTGTTAGCATGCCAGCAACATCGAATGGTAGCTTATTTCAATTAAGAAAATGACATTCAAAAGGTCGCGCCACATATTCTCTCAATACACAGCCCTCCTTGCTCAACTAGCCTTCGTCCCCTTCCCTTTGGCCACAAATTTCCCACTTTTCCAATGTTTTCCCATGCGCAGTCACCACTTTCCATCTTTTTAACATTGTTGACGGTTAAGCCGCCATTCTCCATGATTTTTTCCATGGTTCAATCCAGTTCTTGATGGTGAAACCGCAATGGTCCATCATTTTTGATGCTTAAAACCAGCATTCTTCAGCATGTTTTTTGTTCAACCACCATTTTATATTTCCACAATTTTGCAACGGTTAATCGGTTAACCGCGCTTAGCTTCCCAGGAAACTGAGTGGCGCCTTGAGTTACTGCAACGAGGAAACTGACACCATCGGGGATGACATGGTGGTGGGCGACTCCTGGGTGGCTGAGGTGCGATTGAGAGATCACAAGGGGTGGGTTTTTATTGTTATTACTCCTGTGCCAGTTACATGTTTTTGTGATATATATATATATGTATATATATTTTAATATATATATATATACACGTATTGTTTTAAAATGCTGTTGCCTTGGTAGCATCACAATTTAATTAAATCACTAGTTTTATTATCATTTTTAAAATGTCATTACTATTGGTAATGTATAGCTAAACAACAATTAAAACAAACATAGAAAGAGTAGTTGGTAATGAAGAATAATCAATAATAATTTATAGTAATATCTCTTTTGCTAATCATTGCAATAACAGTAGTAATAATACAAGTAGCAGTACGTAATATGAGAAATATGAGAAATATGAGTACTGTTTTAGTGAAACTATTAGTACTTATATTACTGATGATTACTATTACCCTTGAAGAACCTAATAATAGTAACAGTACTCATAGTAATACTATTAGTCATAATGTGGTTAAAACAATGATAAACCATCCCCCAAAGCACCATAACTTTTTAATGGGTGGTGTAAACCATCAAAAATGGGATGGTTTATGGCTGTTTTACCCACATTAGTAGGAATTATTACCCTCTGGTAAACTAACATAGCTATTGAAAATTGCCATAGAAATAGTGGATTTACCCATTCAAAATAGGGATTTTCCATAGCAAACTGTTAGTTTACCAGAGGGTATATATAATCCGAATTAGTCATCATCATTTAATCACTATGAGTCACCACTAATCACCATTAGTCACCATTAATCACTATTAGCCACCCACATTAGTATGATTGTTGTTTAGCATAGCTTATCATAGTTTTTTCCGAATAATGGTGGTTTAACCATCATAGAATCCAGTGGCTTGATAGTTTACCAGAGGCTATTCCCCATATTCCAATGGAAAATCACCAAATTTTTCATGGGAAAATTCATTATTTCAATGGGAAAACTCATTATTTTTAATGGGAAAACTCATTATTTCAATGGCTATTACAATTTTCTCTCCATGGGAGGTAGTGCTCTGGACGCCCTGGCACTACCTGGGTGATTTGGTCTCTACGGACGTGAGCCGCGTGGCGTCCTTGGACGCCAGCGCCTTTTGTGTCGCGGCGGCGGAAGAACGACATGGGAAGGATGGGGTTTTCCAATGGAAAAACTATAGAAAAACCATGGAAAAACAATGGAAAAACCATGGGATGGGCCATTGGGATGGTGTTATGTGGGAGGTTACAATTGGGGATCGCTTTGGTGGATCTTGTTGCCCATCCGGCGGAAAACCAAAAAAAAAGTGAAAAAACAATCTGTTTTTGCAGGGTAGCTACACATCCTTTTGTTTGACCGGGATTTTCGTCGCAGTTGATGTGTTTGAAAGTTCCGAAAAAGTGATCTATATTCATAAATTGGATGTTGTTGATCCAGGGTTGACAGTATCAACTGCGGCGGATACACACAATTTGCACGTGTCACTATCCCAGCCAATGATGTGTTTCCTATTCTTGCTAATAAACTTGTCATAGGCCATTTCAACCAATCCTAAAGAAGATGGGTGCACAAAAAACATGTTTAGTACACACACATAAATATAAATAGATAGAGATAGATAGATAGATATATATATATATATATACACATAATGTACAAGAATATACAAACAAATCCCATCAATCTATTTGGCAGGGCCAAGGTTATTGCACATGACAACGTTGCTGGGTCCTGTTTTATTTAGCGACGTTTTCCAAACGAAAACGAGGCAATGCTTTGACGATGTCCTGGCACACCCAACGAGTTGCCAGCAGATATGCAGCGATGTTCTTGGCAGCTTGGTTCGTCGTTTTTATCCCAACGAAACGGGCCTTAGAAAATGTATGGCACCTACCAGTATTATATATATATACACACATATATATATACATATATATATACAATATGATGATGAATGCACGGGGTGACATAATTCATCATAATTCTTTCAGAACCATCCGCAGCCATCCCGACTTTTGAAGGGTGCTGAAGTTCATCGAATTCTTATCCCAGTTGAGACATTATCCCACGCTGAAGTTCCCTTGAATTTTCATGAGATCCCATCATAGCCCATCCAGTTCTTCCCATTGTCCCATCAAAAATCGCATGAACAATCCCTTAAGTGAGACATGTCCCATCTATGGATCTCTTTTTTCTTAATGACATGGAATATTTCCATGGATAATCCGAACACAATTTTCCCAGGATCTTCCAGCTTAGGAGAAGATGAATTTCAACCTCGACAACTGGACTGACACCTTCGTTCTGCCAAGGGAGGAGGCAAATCAAGGGGGTCGGAGCCGCCAGCTGTCAGAGCAGCAGCGCAGCTGGTCCCACTTCTGTCGCCTGGCAGTCTGGCAGCGGGTGGGGCGGCAAGGATTTGGATTGGGATTGTAGAATGGGAGGAGAAAAACAAGTAGGATTAGATGGTTTAAAGGGATTTAAAGGGATTTAATGGGATTTAATGGGATTTAATGGGATTTGATGGGATTTGATGGGATTTGATGGGATTTGATGGGATTTGATGGTGAATGAATGGGATGTTAACATGATTTAACCAACCAAAAAGAAGGGATATAAATGGGAATGGCCCTTTCAGCAGTTTTTGATTCGGCTAATCATCGAACAAATTGGCCAATTTCGTCCATAGTTATGTTAGTTTACATCGGATGGTAGTTGTGTAATGTTGTGTACTAAGCGGCTACACCCCAATTTTTTGAGCTGTAGAAGGGGGCGTTCTGTCAGATGGACGCTGCACATGTGGGGAATCAATGTGCGCTGTGATGGATCTATTAATCATTCAACAGCATGTCTTCAAAATTTGCTTCGTTTCCCATTGTTGTGCTAGTTCATAGATTTTCAGTTTCATTCTCAATCAATGCCATGAACCACATGAACGATTGCTCTCGGCCATAGATTTTCTTGAATTTTCAGATGAACATATTCTGGTTGGTGGTTTGGAACATTTTCTTTTTATTCCATATATTGGGAACAATAATCCCATTTGACTAATATTTTTCAGAGCAGTAGGTCAACCACCAACCAGATTATTATTAATCATCATTAACCATATAATAACCATATATTAACCATTATTAACAGTATATTAACAGTACATATGGATTAAGTTTCCATGCTTTCCGGTAGAGGACTGCCTATCAGTCCACTGGACCCCAGCCCTCTGGTAAACGTTTACATAGCGAACTGGAAAGATCCACCATTTTGAATGGGTCAATCAACGGACATTTTATGGGCCAAATGTTCATCCATTTTCCAGTTCGCTATGTAAATGTTGACCAGGGGCTAAACATAATGCAGTTGAAAAGTTGTTTCCATCTGATTTTCCATGGTGCGTTCGGTGGGAATTTCAGGTCCGTGCTGGCGAAACGCCAGCAAAGTGCAGGCTGATGAGCTTTCATTTGTCGGACCTGTTGGACCAAGGAGCTGGAGATTGCTGGGGTCGAATGGGAAATACCTGGGATTTCCTGAGAAAAACAGAAAGATCTGAAGAACAAGGTGATTTATACATACAATTAGTTGGATTTATGGAAAATGATGGGGAAAATATGATGAAATTGGCAGCTGATCATCTGATATCAGTATGATCACCATTTTGTTGAAGCAACATGTGCAGATCATCATCCGAGTTCTTCGGAATTGGGACAGTGGGACTTGTGGGATTGCACGAACCGCAGTTCAGCCGGCAAGTTGGAAGAAGAACTTGTTTTTGCAGGTAAATCACCAAAAAAAACACCTTCATAAATTCATAAATAGATATAAATAGATGTTATCTCTATGGTCCCTATTGATTTTAGAGATTTATCTCATTTTATCCCATTGGAGTTCTATATATCTCTCAGCTCTCCGCCAGGACCACGGGATCCTAGTCTCTCTGCGGACCGGCGAGGCGTGGAAACGATGGAAACGATGGGTTCTGCGGCCTCAAGATCTTCCCCAAAATTGGGGCTGAAGACCCTGGTGAAGGTTTGGGCAACTGGGCGCCTATGGTATCTTTTGATATCTTATGGTCATTTTCAGTGAACGGGATATGATATTTTATGATATCTTATGGTCATTTTCAGTGAAAGAGATATGCCATGGTTTGATGCAATATTGAAGGGAACATCTTGGAAAAATCCAACAAATCGTTGGTGAAGATCATTGTTTTGAGCTACAGGATTTCATTCAGCCGGTTTTTTTTGGGCTTCAACATGGATTCAGAGTTTTGGACACAACCCATGTGCGTTCTGCGGCTAGGTGACGCGGCTAGGCGCGGAGAACCTGGGAACTAGGGATCCAAGCAACAATTGTGATAGACATTTGTTGTTTACATGTAAAGTAGAGCTGAACTTTTCCAATTTTTGTGGGGTAGCTATATATATATATATACATATTGTTAAACGGTCAGACGAGATGTTGTGCGAAACAATTGATTTGCAAGAATTCTTTCGCGCAGTTGACTTCAGTTCCTTGGTGCCCTGCTTTTTTCAATCATCCTACGGTCCTACTTCAGTGGACAACGGAAACTTGGGGTGATTTTGAATTTGATCCTTTACCAAATTCACCTGGATCTGTCAAAACAGGCATGTCATTATCTTTTCTGACCAGGTGGACCAGCTAATGCAGGGTTCCCCAAATGTGAGTCGGTCGCCAGATTTTTTTAAATCGGCCATGAAAACAGTGGCCAACTCGTGCCATCGATGGTTGCCTGGGTAGCACCTCTGTGAAGAGCCGAAATCACTGGATTTCGCAGTTTTGATAGAACAGATATGTAAACATCGGGGAAATATATGCTAGAAAAGGATATATAGAAAAGGTGACTCCCTTTTGCAATTATCTCAATATATCATAGTGAATCTGAAATAGTGATCTTTTTCTATTTTTGGATTATTTGGTGGTTTCTCTATATGTAAGGTTAGCCATGTTGAATGGGTATTCTGTCCATCTGACCTTCTCCAATAACAGCAGAAGATCAACTTGAACACCGATGAGTGTTGCTCTTTGGAGAACGTTCTTGTTACTCGCATGGCTGTGTCTTAAGTGGGGTATACCCCCCAACATTGCCATTTCCCTAGGCTAAGCGATGACGAACCAGTCGATTGAGGGGTACCTCATTTTCAGAGATACTCAGCTGGACTCAGGCAGAACAGTTAGGCCCCTTGTGCCATCCAAGGGACCCCAGGTGACCCCAGGTACCATAGTTCCACGATGTTCCACGTGCATTGCCAAACGGCAACGAACATCGGCCGTGGACTTGTCGTGATCCATCGTGATCCCCTCCTTTTTCCGTGGCGGCACCTCGGCCGCCACCAGGGCGCCCAGGCTGAAGGGTCTCTCTTCATGGCGACATGCCAGGTATCCCATGCCACATCCCATAAGCCACCGAGAGTTGCAAGGCATTGTTGGCCTTCAGTTGCCGGCAACGTCCAGCAAAAAAGGGACGCTTCAGTGCCTGACGAAACAGAGGGATCACAGCCATGCGTACACCTCACTCTTGGAGGCCTGCCAAATCCTGACTGCTTCAGGCAGAGAAAAGGACGGATGCTGTGCTCGGACGGTGCTTGCTGATGCCACTATGATCACAATGTTTCAATGGGAATTCCAGGATCCTAAAATGGAGGTACTGTGCCATATTTCTGGCCATATTTTGTGGTGATATTCACTTACATAGCCCTTACATAGGCCTTATATATGGTAGGCACCTGCCACCGATAGGGACCCGATTGATGATGGCATTGCAACCAACAATTTCACCGTCAATCCGTGGACATGAAACCGATCTAATTAACTCATCGCTTAACGATGGGTTGCAGTTACACTTATTATAGATTATTTATAGATTATTTATAGATTATTTATAGACTATTTATAGATTATTTATGATATAGATATGATAATTATAGATATTATATAGGTATTAACGATATCTTTACTCGCATTGACATGACAAATATAAAATGTTCTAGCCATACTTCTCCAGTTCTAGGGTGATCAGCCCATTTTTTTGCCAAACTTTTCCCACACAGAAGGGTGGATGATATCGAAGTATCCTCCAAGTATCAATCCATTTACATCCTGGCATTTCAAGACTGGTGATGGTTCTATAAGTTATGGAACATCCAACTTTTCATTGCTTTAAATAGCATGTAAAATCCAGATCCTGATGTTCAAAATCAACATGTTGGGTAGTAACATCATGTAAAATCCATGAACAATTCCATATATATTTTTCAAGAAAACGAATCATTCACTTGCACATGTTTTTCACCTTTCATCCACATGGCAGTGTGTCAAAACCCTGGTACCTTTTGTTCACCCCAAGTCATAGCTGGGTTAAAATGGATGTTCATCCCACTATAGTAATGTATCTATAGGTATTGACCCATACCCACATGACCCACACCACCTTTCATCCACCCATCTCCCGCAGCCTCGGGGTCCGGGGACCGTCCGGTCGTCCGGTCATGTCCGGATGAAGAGCAGCGCCTCCTCAGCGTCGCTGGACAGCGAGCGACTGCCGCCCATCAAGCGGAAACCAGGCGCCGTTATGCGCCGGCGCAGGGCCGATGGTTGAGATGGTTGATATGGTTGGTTTTCTGATGGGAAACATATGGAAAAATATGGGGATAAAGATGTGGTTTTACTAGATGTTTTTGTTGATATGTTGATATGTTTTAAAGCTGAACCAGGTTTTTTTTTCAGGTCAAGAAATGGACAGCTATCGGTGAGTTTGATGGGATTTGGCATGGGATTTGGCATGGCCACGTGGTTCCCCATTGGCCACAAGGTGGATTCAACCAAGAACATTTGGGATTGTTGACTCCGAATTTGGGAAGTCTGTCATAGTCTTTTGCCTGCAAAGTTTGGGTTACAAAAAAATCGGGGTTTGATGGTAAACTTAAGTGGGTAAACTTGATGGGTATTCCAGTAGGAATGGAGATTCCAGCAGGCATGTAGGGATTTGACGTGCAAGAACAATCCTTTTGCCCGCAAGAATGCAGATTTGAAGAACCCTTCCAGGGTATCGCGTGTTTCGAAAGGCAACATGAGCATAGCGGCATAGCGCCTGCATAAGTCATGTATTTTTGAGATCGTCATCTCCAAGAGTCACTTCGTTTGGCTTTTTGCTTTTCAGCGGTTGAGCTATGGGCTTTCAGGTTGCGCCATTGCCATCTCACATACCAGACATACCGTATAGTTTTTTGGAATTATGTCCCAGTACTTTCGAATTCTGCGGAATCCATTTCTGCTTTTCGAGTCGGCCTCTTACCAGCAACAGCTATTTTGACTTAGGTCGCTGGGTGCTGCAGGAAAAAGCCTCGTATGCTAAGGGGATTTACGAAATTCTACCTATGAAATCTCTGGGCAAAGTTTGGTAAAGCCCCAGTCAATTTGATTTAACTGGCTGATGCTCTGACATATTTATATAATTGATATATATATAATTATTAATATTTATTATATTTGTCAATTTTCAATAATTTTCATAGGAATTTTATGATGGTCCCCTGACTTTCGAATGTTTTTCAGGGCTTGAAACCACCAACATCCAGCGCGAGGTCGCAGTGGGACAGTCGGCGTGCTCAGATGTGGGGATGGTCTCTTTGATGCCGCCGGGCTCCCGGTTCCCAGAAGAACTTCACGAAGAAAAAAAACCGAGTTGTGTCATCGGCTTCCGATGTTTTTTGGGGTTGAAATATATATGAATTTTGCCCCATATGTGGAAAAATCATGGATGTAAATCATGTTAAATCGAAGATTAAAGAACTATAAGACTAATATCCCATTATTACTGGGCGTGTCTCCAACAGCTGGGGTATGCCACCAATCCATGGCTGAAAAAAAATATGGGAAAGTTGATGATCAACCAGTGAACCTAGGGGTCCACACTTGCTCTTGCCATGCTTGGGCACCATTTGGTCATACCCTGTGGTAAACTGTCACATAACTATGGAAAGATCCACCATTTTTAATGGGAAAATCCACTATTTCTATGGCCATTTTCAATAGCTATGTAACAAATTACCAGAGGGTAATTGAAAAGTGCCTTGGTAGAGTTACTACTTTTGAAGGTATGACGTAAGTTGATGTACAGCAAGAATCGTGATGCCAAGACCGTGTGGATACGGTATCTAGATACGTATAAATCCAAGATGACATACAGATATTATGGATACAGGGATGTGTCAAAATCGGGGCCACCGCTGCACAAAAGCAGTCACAGTCACTTTAAAACCATATTTGAGTAGAGATTTGTTGCTTTTTCTTAGTGAATATGCCATTGGTTCCCACATTTCCATAGCCATCCCCAGCATTGCGAATCGCGTGGATCGAAGGATCGAAGAGGCTTTGGAACCGGTGATGAAACTGGATCGCAGAGGAGTTCCGAAGAAACATTGGGGCCACCTGCTACAGGTTGGTTTTTTGTCCCCCAAAAGATCCCGAAAAGTATTTTTTTCCAAAACATAGTGACAGTTTCAAGCCTTTCTATCTTTTTGGATGTACCATTAAAATCCGTGCTCAATCCGATCCCTAGTGCCCTAGTCAATCCCGATTCAATCCCTATAAAATCCCTATTGAATCAGTCTTAAATCTCATTAAATCCATAGATCCCTTTATCTTTCCGACAAGTTCGTATCCTATCTCGAGGTACTGTAGTTCGTCCGAATCTCGAATCCAGGAGCCAGAACTCAGCCAGACAAGACTATGAAGGTGAGGGCTCCAGCGTTGACCCTCTGGTTATTGAAGTCACACTTTGCGAAGTGGAAAATCCATGAAAATATATGAAAATTAAAGGGCTTACAAATATATCATCCTTTTGATCAGCGTTAACCGGAAAACTACCATCAAATTCAGAGGTAAATTGTGTTTTTTTTACATTTTTTTTTTAAATCATAGCTATGTTAGATAAGCAGCTATTTAGATTATTTAGGGCCTCAGCAGATGGATGTGGAGAAGCCCCAAATTCGATCCACTTCATGATGGAAATTCCAGGGCAAAATGGACCAGAGGCTTCTCACTCATCAAGTACATCTACGCGCGAATTGCGGCGCCAGATGCAAATAAGGCGCTGGATTTTGGGGATTCTTGTTCGGGAGATAGTGGGAGATGCTATGTCATGTATCTTTTAGTGTATTTTTAGTTGGGTGTGGTCAATTGAGGGCTATTTACCAGCTATTCTGCAATTGGGGAGTTCTTTGACTACATTGCCCTCCAGTGACCTACGCTACTGAGCACCAGATCCACGGCAGGACGCGAAACTGGTGGACTTTCTGAAGCACACTGTGCAGTGGGGAGCTGAAAACATGGTGAACAACTGGTGATTTCGGACAGAAACATGACAGAAACATGTCGAACACATCGTGATTTACCCTCTGGTAAACTAACATAGCTATTGAAAATTGTCATTTATAGTGGATTTTCCCATTAAAAATGGTGATTTTCTATAGTTATGTTAGTTTACCAGAGGGTAGGGCAAAATGATGAAGCACAAGGAAAACATGGTGATTTCGGCAAAGCACATGTTTTGGCACATTACATGGTGAACAACTGGTGATTTAGGCCACAAGAATGATGAAGCATATCGGAAAATGCTGGCTTAACCATCAACAATGGAGATTTTTGTGCGATGAATAGTGGACGTGTGTGTGTATGTTCGAAAATGAGGTATACCACCATATACCACCAAATGGCTCTTTTGACAGGAATAATGATGATCAAGCAATGGACGGAATGGGGTACCCGGGCGCGGTGCGCGGTACATGGTGGATGTACCCGGGCCTAAATGCATCTTCCACCCTGCCGTGACACAACATTATTCCCTCCGGTAATCAAACATAGCAATGGAAAATCATCCATTTAAAGAGGATTTTGCCATATTTTACCACTACCCTCTGGTAAACAAACATAGCTATTGAAAATGGCCCAGTCGAAATAGTGGATTTACACATCAAAAATGGTGATTTTCCACAGTTATGTGACAGTTTACCAGAGGGTAAAGCCTTGATTTTTAGAGGATTCTCAAGTGCCACGTTTGACCGGAGGGAATCCCCAAAAGTTTCGTCGTGGCAAGAATGCGGCCCTCTGTTTGCCCAGGTATTTGGATCGGAAGCGCCTCAACGAACGAGAGGACTCGTGTTTTGGGGGTAGTTTTTGGGGGTAGTTTTCTGCTCGGATCTTTCGAGTTTTGGGGTGATTTCTGGTGATTACCCTCTGGTAAACATACAACAAACTATGGAAAGATCCACCATTTTTCATGGGAAAATCCACGATTTCTATATGGGTGAATCTTTCCAGTTCGCAAACTGTTGACATAACCAGAGGGTGGATCATCCCACAAATCGGTTGAGTCCCATCACGGTGCCCCAAAAAGGGTGCCCTGGGTGCCCGAGAAGTTCTCCATCGATGTTGGAGATATGAAAAATCACTGGCTTCAGGAAGTAATCTATATAAATCAACAATGGATAATATATATATATAATTATTCATGGACATTCCGAATGTCTATGTTCATTGGTAGGGCCGGTATGGTATGAGATGGTATGAGAACATATTCATCATATTCTTAACCTGGTTCATTTATTTAGTTTATTTATGTCCTTCCCTTTTCACATCACCAGGAGGTCTTTGGATACACTTCGCTTTCTTTGGCGTCCAGTGTAGGCCATGTGAAGGTGGTCAACATTCTGATGGCTTCTTAGAGCCGAAGGGACGTGGACCGGACGCCGTGTTCGGTGCGGGGGTGGCCAACGGCCAACGTGGTATCATCATATCATCACAGCACAGCGAAATTGCAAAAGAAGCTATATATAGTGGATGGGCCGTTGCGATTTATCCCCAGTTGATAAATGTTGATAAGTGGTTTATCCATGTTTATCCCCATGTTTCTCCCATTATTCATAGGGTTTCAATCATCCGTTTAAAGTGGTGCAGTTTGGTGGTCTCTGCCGTCCATGAAAAAACCCACCGGTCACCGGTGGAACGAAACCAAGGACTCTCGGGTGCGGCGGCTCAGTGATGTGGGGGTTGGGGAGTGGATAGCACAATGTGTTGATGTAAAAAATATACGTGTACTATATATATATATAAAATCATGATCATGATCGATATCTATAGATGTAACATGGATGTAAAATATGTAAATCAACCAGCTCCAACATGACCAACATGTCAGACAACCAGCTCCAACCCGACAGTCGGACTGGATGGAACCCAGTCCTCGGAGCAGCTGCTTCGACTGCTTCGGGTTCAGAGAAACCCGGAATTTTTCGTGGTGTTTTTTGTGCGTGATATTGAATCTGCTTGGTGGTGACTGGAACCATGGAATTTTATTGTGGAATTTTATTGTTCCATTATTGGGAAGAATCATCATCCCAACTGACGACGTCATATTTTTCAGAGGGGTAGGTATACCACCAACCAGGAATGGTTTACACTATCAACCCCCTTTTTTTGCCTCTGGAGATTGAACGGTTTGCGAACTGGAAAATCACGAGTTTGTCAATAGGTAGATCATGATAAATCATCGAACTAAATGGACGATTTTCCAGTTCGCAAACTGTTAGTCATAACCAGAGGGTAACTTCTTTTTTTCTCACCCAAAATAGCGACTTCATCGACTAAAATGGTACCCCCGCAATGATCAGCCGCGGGATAAATCCACCCGTAGATCCGTGCGGGAAAAAAAACACAAGTGGACTAAGTGGACATTGCCCCCTGCTTACGCTAGAATCTTCGCTGGGGTGAAATCTTCCCTTAGTGAAGATTCATCAAATTATGGCACTTTTGCTTCGTTGAATCCAGATTTTTCGCTGGGTGAGGCCAACAACGAAATCGCTCGCACAGCTCACTTGGTGAATTCGATGATGATGGGGATATCACCAACTAATTTGTGATGTCTTTATTATTTTTTTTGGTATAACCAACATGGACAAATATAATATATTATAATGGATATATAAGCATCTTTATAACCAACTATTTGAATATATTTGAATACTTCACGTGTTTATTTTTCCATGTTCCACAGTGTTCCACATTTTACCAAACCATAACATGTTCCATCCATGAAACCTATGACCAAAAGGGATGTTGGTCTCACCGGTCCAGTCGAACATGGAGAAACCATCCGAACGTTCCAATTTTTCGGAGGAGGCCTTATAGATATTCCACATTCTATAGCATATATATATATATTATATATATATATATAATATAGCTCATTCTATAGATCATCGCCCTTATAATCTAAGTGTTCCAACTTTAAAACCTCACCAACTTAGATCAACTCGCGAGTTAGATCAATTCCTTTGGGTTGATAGATAAACTTAGATAAATTCACCAAGTGATCACGTCAAAAACTTCACTAAGTTTTCAACGTTTCACTTGGTGAATTCCTTTGGGTTGATCCCCACGGGGCCCAAGACCCAGACCGGCTCCGAGGCCGATCTCGAATTGAAGTGCAACCTGGGCAACACGGCTCTGCACATGGCCGCACGTGCAGGTCCCACCAGTTCCAAGAACTTGGAGGATGATGGCAGATTTGCTTCGTTCATGGCTTGAAAAAAAATTGGATGGTGATAAAGAATCCAGAAAGAGTATGCTCAGTTGGTTTAGTTTCAGTATGACTGGGGTTTATGCTAAGGAGAAGTGTACTTAGATGTTTTTTTTCCATCTTGGTGGACTTTTGGGCACCTTTTCGCACTTTCCGGGTTGCTATAGATAACGATCCCATGATCATTCCCAGAAGATTTCCATCAAATCATGATTTCTTTTGCTAAATCTCATGAGAAATCACCAGTTTTCGTGGGGAACATCCCATTAAATCCCATAAAAGCATCATTTTTGGTTGCTTAAACACCATCAATCTCACATATGTTCGATTAAATCTCATAAAACCATCATTTTTGTACCATAAATTTCATTAATATTCTTTACAGAAACCAGTGTTTTGCATGGAAATTGCACGGGTTGGGGACGCTCCTCTCTCATTTTTTTCACACATGTGATGTCTTTGATGTGGGCCCAGTGAGTGCCAGGTCACACCTCAGTGGTGCGCGCACTTCTGGTGCACAGAGCAGCGTTGGTGGGGCATGCCAGGGGTATTGCTGGGTGGGTGTCTGAAAATGGTGAGTAATGGTGATTTAATGGGATTTATATAATGGGATTTAATGGGATTTGATGGGATTTAATGGGATATATGATGGTTTACTCTCTGGTAAACCTACAACAACGATGGAACATCACCATTTTATAGCTGGGAAAATCAACGAACTATGAATGGCAATTTTCAATAGCAATGTTAAAAAATCCGGAGGGTAATGATAGGGAAGAGAATAGCCTGTGATAGTGTACGAAAATGGATGGTAGATGTGAATTTAGGCTTTGTCTGAAAATGCTGGGGAGATCTGGTTTGATATAGTATGATATAGTGGTAGATCAACCGGATATAACTTTGATATAACTAGTCAAAGATATGAATTTGGGTAGCAGTCTGAACATGGCGTATTGAATAAATGTGTAAAAATCATGATCTTCCCCAAAATTGGTAGCAAAAAATATCCCATGGTATCAGTCCCCAATAGCCAATGCTATAGGGAAGATCCATGGATAAACCAATGGATACCATCGGATGCCCGAAACACCATTACCGTAGGATCCTCGAAGGGAAACCAGGAATCTCTAATGCGTTAATCTACCTCTATTTATAGTTTCATATGGTAGTTTAGCATGGTTTTATTATGTTTTATCTGGTTAGTTAAGGAACCAAGAATGGGATCATGGAGTTATCCATGGAGTTATATGGAGTGTTTTCAAACGTGGTGCAGGCTGGAAAATCCACCAGCAATAGTTCCAGCCACCTGTGATCACCCGTGGGATGGTCCTCCGAAGTGGGATGATTCGCCCGTGGATTTGGGGTACATCCCAATTTTTGGGCTATTTGAAGGGGGGAAATGATGAATTTCCACGCGATCATGGGGACTTTGGGCAAGCAGATGCAAGCAGCTGGGCCCTCCGTTCTGGCACGGGGGGGCATCAAAATAACCTGTTTCCAGCACTTATGGGCCTATGGAGAAGGGCCTATGTCAAGGGATAGAGGTGTACTCGGACTGGGGAGACTGCAGAGGCCCCAGTCCGATTTCAGATTTCATGGTGGATCTCTAGGTGATTCCTGATGACCCAATCGGTTTACATCGGGATTTCCCATGGTAACATGGCACCCCCATTGAGTCCCTGCCACACGACAGGAGTCCAAGAATGCCGAGGGCTGGACGCCGCTGATCTGGCGAGACCCCGAGAGCAGCGCATGTCACCACCACGGTCTAACCAAAGAGATCTAGCCTCACCAGCATTGATGATCATCAATGGGAAAACCATGGGAAAACCCCCATCATTTGTAGAAAAAAAACGGGAAAGCAATGGAAAGCATATGTGGTTGTTCTGACAGCTCTAGACTTACAGTAGCTGTCAGGGGCTCCATGAACGGGCACGAGGAGGTTGTGGCCGCGCTGCTGAATGCCAAGAGTCAGGCAGGTCGTTTGGGAGACGACCTCGGAACATTAACTGTTACACAGCGAAGACTGGAGAGCTAAGCAGCTAAGTTGATGAAAGCTCGGGATTTACCCTCTGGTAAACTGTCACATTGCTATGGAAAATCACCATTTTTAATGGGAAAATCCACTATTTCGACTGGGCCATTTTCAATAGCTATGTAACAAATTACCAGAGGGTAGGTGGGTTTGGCCAGCAACATTCTGGGGATTGACCAACGATGAGCCATCCAATATCATCCAATCAATCCAGTGATCAGTGATCATTTTCCAAAGAAGGAGTCATCCAATTAATCCTCTGGTAAACTAACATAGCTATTGAAAATGGCCATTTATAGTGGATTTTCCCATTAAAAATTGTGATTTTCCATAGTTACGTTAGTTTACCAGAGGGCAATCCTTTCCCCCTGCAGTATATTAACCACCGTTGCTTGAAACCATGGTCCGGTAGGACATTTACACATTGTTTGGTACCATTGAAGTGGTGTGGAACTTAACTTTTCGGGGGATGGAATCGAAGTGCAACATCCAACAAAATCAACTAGTTGGACTTGGATTTCGCTGGCTTCACAATCAAATCCCTTTTCACTCGGACAAAAATGCCTTTGGAATCCCAGATCCATGGGGAAATGCTCAGACTCCCCCCAATAGATTTTCATAGATTTTCTATTGAGCCGTGTTTTCACAGCTCTCAAAAGTTTGGCCCTGGAATTCTCAATTTTGCTGGAGATGAGATAACTATTCTAACAGCTGCTACCTATAGCAACAGCTCCACCCCTTGGGATCCTGAAAAAATCACGGACTGGATTCACCGTAGGTGCAAGCGATAGATGCACAGGGACTCTCGGCCCTGATGTGGGCAACACGTTGCTTGGCGATGCCGTCAATGTCAAGCCATGGTCAAGTTGGATTATTTTTTCACCCTTGGGAGAATAGCCATGGAATATTTCGTGAATATTCATGGACTCTTAATATAGAGATATCCCACTATTATCCCAATTATTATTTTAGTCCATTCATATTCCATTAGTATCCCATTTAGTGAATAGTAATGGATAATAATTGGGATAATCGTAATAACATATAATAACAGTTTTATATATTTTCAGTGAATTCACAGAAAATCCCGAAAAACAAATCCATGACCTAAGCAATTTTAAGTCAAATAGTTAGTTGGATTGGATTCATCCAAGATACACTGAGTTAGTTGGATTTGCTAACGGCCATGTCTTGTTTCCCAATGGCTGGTCCACTTTACATCCGCTGTTTCTGGGGAGAACTGGACCTATTCTTTGGTAGAAAACCTAACCTGTTCGAGGTGGTATCCCAGTTTACCAATCGGCTAGCAATCAAATAATAGGATTTCACCACCACTATTTTTGGGGGGTACCTCCGGAGTTTATCGGAGATTGGGGTTGACAGTATATATGCGGCACTGTAGCTGAACAACTACATTATCAATGGGAATTTCAGGATCCTAAAATGGAGGTACTGTACCGTATAAGGCCATATTTCCTGGGGATATTCCCTTGCATAGCCCTTACATAGGCCTTATATATGGTAGATTGGTAGGTACCTCCAATTTAGGTTCCTGAAATGACCAGTGACATTACCAATTTGTAGCTGGAATTCTCCAACTATTGTTATTGAACCACGTATGATTCCTTGGTCCACCCAGCGTTAATGGCTTAGCTGGCTTCGTCATCCCAAAAAGGTCAAAGGAGATAACTATGGCACTAACATCGGTAAGTTGGGATATATACATGAATAGATGAATATTAACCTTTTAAACTATATATATATACATACATATATCATATATATATATACACGCACATATATATATATATAAAAACTGTATAAACTATATAAACTATATAAACATATAAACATATATGCATATACACACATATACATATAAAACTATATAAACATGTGTCCACTTAAATCACTGGAACTGCACCAAGACCTGCCTTCTGGAACTGCCAAAAAGGGCGCTCTTCGGCGCGCCCAGGCCATGGTCATGTGAGTGTGATGAAATCCATCCTGGCGACCGGGTCGGGAATGCCAGTCATCGCTAGGCGACCGGATGGCTTTGGCTTTCGAATGGTAACCTATTATGATCGCTATCATTATCATTGCTTAACATGATCGCTATCATTTTTTTGTAACCTCCAAAAAGTATACCCGGCCTGGTAAACTAACAGTTTGCGAACTGGAAAATTGCCATGTATAGTGGAGTTATCATGATTTATCCATTGAAAATAGTGATTTTCCATAGTGGAAACCCTGGATTAATAAACCCCAAACGGCTGGATTATGAGTGGGATACATTGGGATTATGATTGGGATGGTTACCCTCTGGTAATGACTACAGTTTGCTATTGAAAATACCACATTGAGTTCGTTGATTTACCTATTCAAAATGGTGATTTTCTATAGCTGTGCTATATTAGTTAATAAACCCCGTTTACGGCTGTTGAATTGGGAGGCTCATATTTAAGTATGAGACGAAATGACTAGTGGAGGAGTAGCCCCCTAATTAATAAACCATGGTTTATTAATCCGGAGTTGACATTAGATGGATAGCAGACTGGGAAATCAAAAGACTGAGGCCAGACTTGAGTTTGAGGGACTTTGCAGGCCTGCGCCTCGGGATTTTGGACGTTCTTTGATGGGAGTGTTGATGGATGTGGATGGGCAGTGCTTGAGAAGCCATGAGCCTAGATCAGAATTCTCACTATGTATTGGCTATATATAATATATAATATTATATAATATAACATACAGATATACATATATGTACATACATATATATATACACATACACACACACATATATATGTGTGTGTGTTGACTATTTCTGGCATCTTTCTTTTTGGGGAGAACCGACGCCGAGGTCATACGGTGATGCACCATGCGCGGCAACACCGGGCTGCGCGGAAGATGCTACAGCAGTTCGAGGTGGATAAGACATAGATGACAATGGATTGGTTTAAGGCTCTACAGGAAACCATCGATTTTCCCATTAAATATGGGGCTGTCCTGTAAATTTTCCCTTAAACCAATCCATTGAAGATGACATGATGGGAAAATGGAGGGAACATTAGAGTTGAATGGTATTTTGGTAGGTTTTTGATAGGCTTTTGTATGTTTTTCTTCTTGAATTCTGGAGATGATAATGGGATATCGGCCGGGCCTCTGAGAATCAATTGGAAACGGTGGATTTTCCATGAGAACTTGCTGGTTCCTGAGGAAATCTTCCTGAGGTAAGTGACAATGGTTATTGACCCACTTCCTGTCTGTGAATAAATCCCTTCCCCAACATGCCCCCCCCCATATGAATATATTGAAGACGAACTGGGGGTATTTGATATTTTCATTTATGCTGACTTTCCCAAACAGTGTGAATTCCAATCAACAATCTCAACCCCCCATATGAATAATTGATGGAATAATTGACAATAATTGACAATAATGGTCATATTTTCGAATCATGATTCGATGATTCATCCCATATCCCATATGAAGGGATACTCCCATTGACAGTGATAATCCAATTATAGATGGACTTAGTGACAATTCCAAGTCCAATCATCACCCCCATCCCTCCAATAATGGAGATCATCCCACTACAACCCCATAATTCTCACATGTTTATCCCACAATGTCCCGTAATGTTACCCCATAGATAGTCAGAATCGCACATGGCACCTCGTCACCAAATTCATCATTTTCCCTATTGAAATTGCCATTTTGGGACACTCCAAAATGCAATGGTTCATCAATTTTCGCGTGCAGCTGGTCATTTGCTGGCTATTCATGTCAGAAAGTCGCGAACATTTCGAGGTTTTCATGGTACGACCAGCATTCACCACCAGGAGCTGAACCGACAACTGCTGAACTCGGCCAAGTCTGGGGACATTGGGCAAGCCTCTATGGCACTGCAGGTGACCGGTGGTGATAGGAGAACTGGGATAGTGGGCCTAGCTATCCCACAGACCAAAACGGGTGAGTGTTTTGGGGGTCATGGAGCAACACTCTTATGTGATATGTCTGTGTGGTTTGTGAAGCATGCAGATCCATCACTAGATATGGGATACATCATCCGGTTTCTCTCGTGCAAGTATGTCTCTGCATGGCCTCCAAGAAAAAGTCAATGTGAATTCCCTTGAAGAGGAAATGCAATCGCCCGCTGGTAATTTAACGTAGCTATGGAAAATCACATCTTTTAATAGGTAAATCACCATAAATCATCTATAGATGGGCCGTTTTCTCCAGCAATAACCAGAGGGTAGGTGAATTTATCTAGATTTTACCTCCACTAAACCACCATTGATCCATTTTTGATCCCAATCGCACAGGTACCATGGTTCTTTAAACCTCTGATTTTTCTTCATCACCCTGCGACAATGGCAATGGAAAATCTACCCATTAATAGATGATTTTCCCAGTTAGCCATTCACTAGCCACATTTAAAACTACCGGAGGGCAACTTTCATTCATCTCCATTTACCATCTGGTTATGACTAACATAGCCATGGTATAGATGGCCCATAGAAATAGATGGTTTACCGAACTTAAAAATGGTGGATCTTTCCATGGCTATGTTAAATAACCAGAGGGTAAATGTTTAAAACCAGATGAACCTGTATTATCCCCATTAAAAACCAGATGAAACTATATTAAACCAGCATTTTCTCACCATTTCCCAACCATTATCATCTGGTTATTTAACATAGCCATGGAAAGATCCACCATGCTATTAATTTCGGTAAACCATCGAACTTTCTATGGGCCATGGCTTAACCATGGCTATGTTAGTCATAACCAGAGGGTATCATCCCATTTATGGAAGTGAATTCTGTCAGTCATATACCAGGTATACCATATTAAAGACCCATTAAATACCATAATATTACCATATATTACCAATAACTAATAACTGGTATATCCCCCAAATCCCATATCATCACCCTGAAATTCCCATAAAACCCCAATGAAACCACCACTGTTCGGGTTCACCAGGCCGGCGCTTACGTGGATGCCCTAGACCACCAGGGCAGCAGCCCGCTGCTGTTGGCTGCCTCGCAACGAGACTTTACCATGGCGCGGAACGGGGGGGGCCGGGCTCGGGCTTTCTACAGCATCCAGCGGGTATTCCCCATTGATGATCATGGAAAACCCCATGTAGATAGATATAGATATAGATCTAGACAGATTGATAGATAGATTTAATTAATTTTTATTATATATACACATATATACAGACAGACAGACATACATACATACATCCTTACCTTACCTTACCTTACATTGCATTGCATTGCATTAACATTACATTAACATTCAATTAAGATTACATTAACATCACATTTACATTACATTTTCATTTGCATTACATTCACATTACATTATATACATATAGTCATATAGTGGGATGCATAGTGACAATCGATTTTCTCCATAGTCAGACGGCGTCAGGTGAAGTTGTTGACACGTCACGGGGCTGATCTCAGCTTGGAGGCGACTCCGTCGGGTTGGTGGTTTCCAATGACATTGGGATATATATATAATAGGTTTTCGCAGGTTGTCCCATAAATGGTTTTTCTATATATATATATAAGTTATGTTTATTTATGGGACATTGGACCTATCTCATTGCGATATAACTAGTTGGTGATATCATGTTATATATATCCCGTGATATCCCCCATAGTTTTGTTATCTTACTGGTGCGTTTTACGTAGGGAATGGATAGGAATGGATGGTTCAGCCCACTTAGTAAGTAGCTTATACCCCTGGTTAGTTCACTGGGCTAAGTAGGGGCAAGGTTCACTGAAATAACTGGGGTTATAATCCACTTCCTAACTGGGATGAGCCACCAAGTAGGGAATGGATGGGTTGCTGGGGGGAATGGGATGATGACATTACTAGTGATGATTTATGGATCATTCCCGAAAATTCCCTGCGTAAAACGCGCCAGTAAGATGACAATGATGTCGTTTTTTTCTTGTTCAACCCCACCTGAGATGATGATTCCTCTTCTGCATGTTTTTTTTTTGGTCATTTCCCACATTCGTCCTGAAAAAGAGGCCTCTCGAACCAACTCGCCTTGGATGCGAAACATTGAGCAGCTGGGTGAAGCATTTGGTGCTTCAAAGGCTAGCCTCCAGTTGACATATGGCAAACTGGTTGGTGGTGACTGGAACATGGTTTTTATGACTTTCCAGAAACAGTTGGGAATGGAATGTCATCATCCCAACTGACGAACTCACTCCATCATTTTTCAGAGGGGTAGGTACCCTCTGGTAAATTAACATAGCTATTGAAAATGGCCATTTATAGTGGATTTACCCATTGAAAATGGTGATTTTCCATAGCTATGTTAGTTTACCAGAGGGTAGCCCCCACCAACCAGCAAATCTACCATGTGCAGATCATTTTCCTAGGTTTTTGGGAGTGTTTCCCGAGATGAAGGATGGAAGAGGGCGAAGCTCCGGTGATCAAACATGGCAATGGAACATCCACCAGTTACAGACGATTTTTTCATGGATTTTCCCAGCTATAAACCTCCACTTACAGGGGATAAACCTGCCATGTTTTTTTTTTTAGGGGATGCCATTTCCACCTGGGTATTAACTGGACCATTTCTATTCTTGGAGTCTTGGAAACTGTCACCAGCAAAACTGTCGTTGTGACATCCCATCATCAAAGAATGCAACTGAAAATCCCACATAAATAGATGGAAAACCAACATTTAGTATAGAAAATAGGTGGAAATCCCACTTTTAAATGGATGTTTCTAGATGGAAAATCCCACATAAATAGTATACTAATGGTGGATTTTCTGGCAAAAAAAACATGTCTAAACTTTAGGAGGGTAGATTGAAAGAACTTGTTTGAAGGAATCAATTTGTAGATACATTTCCTACAAAAGCAGGGTTGATGATGTTGAGGCACTCTGAATTTACCCTTTTGTTTCATCAACCATGGCTGGAAACTACCTTTGGTAGATGATCTTCCCAGCTACCTTCATTAGTTCAGGGATTTCCACCACGTTTGACCCAAGATGGAGGGTAGTCATCACCCGAGGTATCGCACCAACATCCAGGAGGCGAGGATTCCATGTTTTCCATAATTTTGGGGGAGGCAGGCTTCGAAATGAACGTGGTAAAGCGGTAGCCCAACTAATGAATAACTGAATAACTGCTTGGTGGTTTGGAACATGAAATTTATGACTTTCCATTATGACTTTCCATATATTGGGAACAATAATCCCATTTGTCGAACTCCATCATTTTTCAGAGGGGTTGAAACCACCAACCAGATAATGAACATCCAACTGTCAACAAAAAAAACTATACACCACTCTTTTAGGTTTGGCATGCCTTTGGGCAAGTAGGGCATCCCAATAATAGCCAAGTTGGGTACGGTTTCAACCCCACCATTTTTTTTAATACGAGAGAGGCACTTTAAACAACTGTATTGCTGTTGGTGTATTCCAACAACAACTCATTTTCTCAGTATTTCATTTGTAACATTTGACATGTGGCCATCATAACTAACATTTACAACATAGACAAACCATCGGGAAATATTCGTAGCATTTTCCCGAAGGTTTCAATAAATTATATTCCCAACATAGCTATAAAACATGGCCCACTTATAGTTGATTTACCTATTAAACATAGTGATTTTCATTGATTTTCCATAGCTATGTTAGTTTACCAGAGGGTATTTTGTACATTTCATGTGCTTTGCAGTGCGATGATGAGTTCGATGATGAGTTCGATGATTTTCCCAGCTAGACACCTCGACTTATCAACTTTCTTTCTATCAAAA